GGGGGGTAGGCTGCCTGGTTGGGGTCTGGGCTGTGGATGGGTATTGGGCCTTTGGGGGTGATTGAGGGTGGTGCTGGTGCTCCCGTTCTCCCTGGATTGTTTGGATCCTTTGATCAGTTTTCCTGGTTCTGATGGCCAGCCCTTTGGCTGGGGTGGCTGCCGGGTTCTGGCGGGGGGGGTCAGCTGTGGTTGTGGGTGTGTGGTTGTTGGTAGTGCGTGGCTGCGGTCGGGGGCGTGGCTTCACTTCGACGGAGTGCTGGCTGGTCGGCCTGATATGACATTCACGGTGCGGGGTGCTGTGTGTGTGTTGGGGGGGGGGGGGGGGGTGCATGGGTGGCATGCCGGGGCTTCTCCGGGCCTGTGGTGTGGGGCTTTAGGAATGCATTGGTGCGTTGGGCTGGCCTTCCTCGGCTGCTGCTCCCCTGCTGCTCTGGCCCCCGGCTTGGGGCCGGCTTGCGGTCACTAGCTATGTTTACATGGACATAAGTAACCGGATCAAATGGCTGGTCGGACTAAAAGTGTGTCATGTAAACACTTCATTCGGGTTATTTTTTGTGTATTCGGGGCGATCCGATATAATTTGTGATCAGAACGAAACGGGTGGTTTACGCCGATCCATAACCCGATTGGAGCGCATGTAAATACTTGATCTGTTCATTTTTATCTGATCGTGAAAAACTGACCTGACTGCGCATGTGCGACTTTGCTATTTCTGCCTGGCTAATGCTAATAATATTAGCATGTCAGGGAAGCAAAACTGGTCGGTGAGCGACACAACATTTCTACTAGAAACTTTGAAAGAGCTCAAAATGATCTGTATTACCTGTAGCTCAGTCAGGGAGTGCAGTAACATCTCCACCATCATTAAAACCTGTCCCCGGTTCATTTTGGGTGCTCAGGTTTGTTTACATTCATCCCGGAAGTAGAACTTCTTCTTCTGTGTTTTTTTTAAGGAGAGTTTACCACTCTGCGCATGTCAGCACTGCTGTTCAGAACAAAGTCCGATGCATGTAAACGCTAGTCATGAACTGATTGTGCCCATGTAAACAATACATTTGAATTATTTAATCTGAAAACATTTCAATCCGGTCAAAAAATGTTGCGCATGTAAACATAGCTACTGTTGGACAGGTGGGGCGCATGGACAGCCCGACAGAGGCTCTGTCGGGCTGTCTCTGTATGCCTGTTTGTCTCAGGTTGGGTTTTGGGTGGCTCCCTGTCTTGGACCAGTTTTGGCCCCCCATTTGGTGGGTCGTGCTCCCCTCCGGTGGTGGGCCCCCCTGCCGCCGGGGCATTGGCAGCTCTCAGCAGCTGGGGCTGGGTGGTGGGGTGTGTGCGGGCCCGCCCTGGTGGCTGCCTGCGGGGGGCTGGGTGCCGTGGCTCTGTCGGGCCTCTGTTGGGGGGTGGTATGACCTCGGGACTTGGTGTCCATGGCTGGATCCACTCTGGAGGGGCGGGTTGCTGGCGGGGCCTGTTGACTCGTCGCTACGGCCTCCTGGGGGTTTCTGCATTGTGGTTGCTGGGGATCGCCCAGGGCTTCCCTTTACTTCCCTTTGGGGTGCGGGTGTCCCTGTTGGGAGACTACCGGAGTTCCGGGCTTGGGGGCCGCTGTGTGTCTGTGGTTCTAGTCTTCCCTGTGTTACCTTCGTGTCCTGTGGGGACGAGTTTATGGGTCCCCACATCCACTATTGAACATTTTTATGGAGAAACCTTATAGTGATAACATGCTCACACAGGTGTTTAGATTCAGGTGTTTATCAGACACACAGTTGGGTTGTGGTGGCCATCAAATATATATTGTATTACCATGTACTGTATAAAATACTTTCTAATGATGTTATAACTATTATTATATAAGTTGTTTGTTGTTGTGGCTTCTTGGTTTTGTTGGGGGGGGGGGGGTCGGTCTGCAGGTCTAGAGGCAGACTTCAATGATATTGATTTGTGTTCTCTTTATCCCTCTCTCTCTCCTCTATTCCTATCTCCTTCTTTACATTTTAACTTTTCTCTCACTTTTCTGCTTTATCTTTTTTGTTTTCTGTCCCCATGTCCATTACATCTGAAACAAACCCAATACATATTCTAATAAAATTAAATTTATATGTCAAATGGAGCATTAAGGCCAGCCATAATGCTCTGCTTGTGAAAGTAAATCTGTTGGGCATCACTTTGACACTCAGACAATAATTCTAAGTGTCACAATGCCGGACAGGACAAGTGGAGAAAAAAAAAGAAAACATATTGAACCTTTTTTTTTATATAAAACAGTACCTTAAAAATGTTCTAAATGTCTTTGAGTCATAATTTAATTTTGTGCATAATGAGATTAATCTAAAAAATATGCTGCCATTAAAAAAATTTAATCTTTGCTCAGCACTAGTGTGTGTGTGTGTGTGTGTGCGCGTGTGTGTGTGTGTGTGTAAATATATTTACACTCATTTTGTCGGTTTGTTGAAACTGTTTTCTAGGATTTAACCCCACTGTTGGTTCTACCTGCCAACATAGTTATTTAATCCCCCGCATTTTAATTTAAAATATAACATAATACTGTACTTATAAAATACCTGTGTTTGTAAGTTCTTCAACCCACGTTTAATATGGTCCTGCAAATGGAAAATAGTTTGTTCACTCAAATTGTCTCCTACAATAACACTGAAGTTACTTGTGTTTTACTCTTTTGAAATCCACTTTTTTTTTTTTGCAATGGCTCAAAGGGACAAATTATTTTGGCCTTATTGCTCTTAAGAGTTCTTAAATAACTGTTTTTAATCATTGGAATGAAAGAAAAACATTTTGTTCAGAGCTGACCTGTCTCTGGCTTGTCCCTACAGGCAGTCTTGGCCTACCAGAATGGACATGCACCAAGACATAGAGGACACATTAGCTTCTTCATCCATCTCTCATGGTGGAGGCCCCCAGTCTCCTGCTCGCAGTGCAGAGAACCTGCTCAATGGACATCGCTCCAAAGGCATGATGGAACTGGGCAGACGAGAAGAGAGCTCAGTATTGGACCTCGTGGGACCCGCAGCACAGGTTTTCATCTCATTTAGCACTATATAGTTATATTTATTTTACTGTTGTATAGGGCTGCAACAACGAATCGATAAAAATCGATAAAAATCGATAAAAATCGATAAAAATCGATTATTAAAAGTGTTGGCAACGAATTTCATTATCGATTTGTTGTGTCGCGCGATTATGCATGTTTTACGGCGCTGCGGAGCCGTTTTGTTCATCTGCAGTTCATTGTCAATGCTGACGTGACTGAATAAAGTTTGAAAAAAACAACAACTCTGCAGCACGAGTTGAACAGAGCGAGGGGGGGAGGTGGAAGCAGAGCAGAGACGGTGTTTTCAAAGAAATTTAAGTAAATTTAACAAATGACCGATGCAGAGAAAATGGTTCGACCCAAGTCCTCAAAAGTGTGGGAGCATCTGACGCTTCACACATTAAAAACTGCGCAACATGCAGCTTTGAAAAGTGATGACATGACACAGGAGAACCACGCTGATGAAACGTAAACATTTCGAAGTCGTAAACTAACTTCACCGCGGTGTGGATGAAGGAGCAGCAGCAGTAAGTGAGTCTCTACAATATTCTACATTTGTTCTGTTTCCATGTGAGAAAACGTAACATCAGTCTCTCTGGTAGCTGACCTGAAGCTGCTGGTTGTTTGCTGATTAATGACGGTGATAGAGAACGTGTGTTACTTTTTATTTCATTTAATTGGTACAAGCAGTGTTTAAATGTGATTTATAAATAAATCTAACACAAAGATAATAATTTAATGATTAAGCTTCAACTTTTAATTTGCTGGCAAAGTTTGAGTGAAGACACTGCATGTTTGGAAAGATGAATTGCATTTAAACAGGAATTAAAGTAATTTATTTCATCTACTCAATTGTGTGTAATTAGTATTTTATATGTGTGTGTTTGTGTGTGTGTTTAATTGCTCTTTGGGCTACTTACTTGCCTGAACCGAACACTGTAAGTGAAACATGGCATTATTGATTTGCTGTAAATTATACTATAATATATACCATTCTATCTTTCTCATTCTAGAAAACAGCAACAAACAATGACAGCCTTCATGATGGACAGACATCATGGACACCACAGCAAGCAGCTGTCTTCACTGAAAGCATCCTGAACATGATCGTCACTGACATGAGGCCTCTGTCGATGGTTGAAGACGAAGGCTTCACTACAAGATCCACACTTTTAATCCAGGTTACACTCTTCCCTCAAGGACACATTTTACAACGTAGCTATATATTGTGTATGGAAGCCATTATGTCTCATAAATCAAATTAAAATGGATTAATAGAATTGCTTTTTCATTTCAAAGTCAAGCTGCATTTTTTGACTCATAAATAAAATTAAAAATGAATAATCCAAACTGCATTTTCATTTTCTTCAAGACTGCTCATTGTGTAAATTAATTAAAATGATAAATAAAACAACGTTTAACATTTAATTTTCAAAATATGTCCCAGTAAAAAGTGGCCAAAATTCATTTTGAAATGTCAAATTTGAAAATTAAAATGAAATAGCAGAAATGCTTTTTCATTTCAAAGTCAAGCTGCATTTTTTGACTCATAAATAAAATTAAAAATAAATCATTTTCATTTTCTTCTTCAAGACTGCTCATTGTGTAACACAGCTACAGAGGAAACTAACAACGAACTTCTTTTTCATTTTCATGCCCCACCCCTGCAGAAAATGTTGCAAAAATCAATCTGAATTGGCAATTCCAAGCGGCGCAGGAGAGTGACGTCATTGCTGCCTCACGCTGCCCAGTGTTACGCATCTTTTATGTTCGGGGATGATGATTAGGCAAGACACACATTTACAACGCTTCCTCACGCAAAACAAATTTGGATTATGCCATAAAATACAATGTAAATCCACCCAAAACGCCATTTTTTTATGCCTGCCTTCCAAACGCAGAAATTGACACCGTTTATTTTGTGCATTGAACGCAGCTTTATACACGTGACCATTATAAAACACTGTAATTTATGCTGTAAAAGACTGCGTTTTCTTGAATTTGGCAAGGCCCTCCCAATCTTTTCATTGGTTGGATAAATTTGTTTATAATTTTGAATTGCACTTCTTTAATTTCGGATGAGAGGGGAAAAGATAAATATTTGGTTCTAATCTTCTTAATTTGTTCTTTATTGAAATTTCTCAGGATATATTGCCTTTTAAGTGCACCAGTATAATGGGATAAGCAGCTTCGCATAAACTTGTTACATCTGACATCACAAAAATCGAAATCTTCAGTACAAAGTGTCAGTAAAAGAGGGGACATCTTGGAATGTATTAAATCCTGTCTACCATAAGCTGACGAGGAAAGGCTTTGATGATTTGTTTATATTTTGCCTGGGTACAACATATTTGAAATTTATCACAAAACTCAGAATGTTGTAACATGTTTCCATCTGCATCCATAAAGTGTAAAAAAACAAAGACAAGAATACTATTCTCTGAGTTTGTACCTCAGTCTGTTAAATGGTAAACGGACTGTACTTATATAGAGCCTTTCTATCTAATCAAGATACTCAAAGTGCTTTACACAACAATCTGTGTCCTCATTTACCCATTCATACAGCACTCTACTAAATCTCTACAAAGCTAATTGAACAAATCATTCTAAAGAGACTAATCAGTGCTTTAGATCACATTCATACACTTATGGGACACACATCAGAGGCTATGAGGGGTTCAGTGTCTTGCCCAGGAACACTTCAGCATGTGACTGCTGGTGGATTCAAACCCCAAACTCTTGCATTGGAGGACGACTGCTCTAACCACTCAGCCACAGCCGCCCCAGGTGATCTCTCTTGTAAATGAGTCCTCGTGGCTCAATGGGACTAACCTGTATCTGTGTATATATGACAGTGATATAGATATGTATATATATATATACATATATATGTATATATATATGTATATGTCTGTGTGTGTGTATATATATATTTATATTATATATATATATATATATATTTTTTTTTTTTATATATATATATATATATATAAATGTATCAGTGATTGTGAGTTTTGCAAAACTTGTCATAAGAATATTTTATTAGTGTTAATGTTAACTCCACCAAGAATATTTAAATACACTGAACCATGTGTTCAGCTTTAATGGTTGTACGTCTAAGATTTACAGAGGAAAAAATTGTGAGAATGAATTTAGTTTTCAGCTCTGACTGATTAAACGCGCAGATACTTCATTGCTCCTGACAAACAGGTTACACTAAGTGGAGCGGTCGACTGTTCCAAGATGGCGGTCCTACAGCTCGTCAGCACCAATGGCGATAGTTTGTTTTTTTGTTTTTTTACCAATAGGCGATAGTGGTCAATGCTGTATCTAGTGTTTATATCTATGGCGTGAGGCAGCAATGACGTCACTCTCCTGCACTGCTTGGAATTGCCAATTCAGATTGATTTTTGGAACACTTTTTGCAGGAGTGGGGCATGAAAACGAAAAAGCAGTTGTGTTCTTAGTTTCCTCTAGTTGTGTTACACAATGAGCAGTCTTAAAGAAGAAAATGATAATAATTTATTTTTAATTTTATTTATGAGTCAAAAAATGCAGCTCGACTTTGAAATGAAAAAGCATTTCTGCTATTTCATTTTAATTTTCAAATTTGACATTTCAAAATGAATTTTGGTCACTTTTTACTGGGACATATTTTGAAAATTAAATGTTAAACGTTGTTTTATTTATCATTTTAATTAATTTACACAATGAGCAGTCTTGAAGAAAATGAAAATGCAGTTTGGATTATTCATTTGTAATTTTATTTATGAGTCAAAAAATGCAGCTTGACTTTGAAATGAAAAAGCAATTCTATTAATCCATTTTAATTTGATTTATGAGACATAATGGCTTCCATAATTGTGCAGGTATAAAGCATACATTTGTATATATTTTTGTGTACATTTATTTTTTATTGAAAGTATTTGACCAACTTGTAAGTTTTTTATTATTCAGTATTTTACTAACAGGATAGTCGAGTAGCAACCTGTTTTTTGTGCGATTTACTATGTCAGTCAAATTTTGGAATAAAGAGGTAATAATTAAAACGTTTTTTTTTTTTCGATTCATCAATTAATCGGGCAAAAATTGTCAGATTAATCGATTATTGAAATAATTGTTAGTTGCAGCCCTACTGTTGTACTACAGATGACTTTTAGCTACTGAGGGGACAACCAAACTGTCATAGTTGAAATTTATGACCAGCCATAACAGTCCCCCCACTGAAAAAACTTTTCACTAAGCAAAAGAAGGTCAAATATGCAGGTGAGTTGACAACCCTTGATGAGACCTAATTGTGATTCTTCCACATTGGGTTGTAGCATCTTCTGTTGGATGTTCCTGGTCACAGAAGTTCATAAGAAGCACCGATGTATTGTTCACAGGATTACAGACTTGTTGTTGCACCTGCACCATTTATCCTAATGCATAATTTGCATAAACAGTGAATGCAACCACAGAAAGTTCTGCTGTTGTTTTTTGGGTAGCGTCTCTGTTCCTAAATACCTCAGAGAGCTTCTTAATAGGAAAGATCATTTTTTTAAACAGCGCTCACTTTCATGCATGTGCAGTATGTTGGATGTCAGAAGGCAAACATCCAGCAATGAATGAGCAGTTAAAGAAGAAATGCAGTCCATTATTAGCTGATACATACTGTATTTATCAGATTAAGCTAAAAGGTTTATCTCTAAGGCCAATCAGTGGCATGTGATGAAACTACATATGCCCAAAACTTGCTTTCGATCTTACATCGTGAGAAGTGGTTGGAAGCTCGACCCAACGCTCCGGTCAAACATTGACTACATTGATATTTGGGAAAATCTGATTGGCTCTCTAGGTTTGTTCACTAGAGAGTTGCTGAACGCCTTCAAGTTATTGGAAATAAAATATAGCAAGTATAGAATATATTTATAACTTCATGAGTCTCTTTCTGTCTTGTGAACGCAAAATAGCTATGTCAAACAAATAATGGCTTTTATTTTAA